CACTCAAATCAAAATAAGATACGCAATTTGCTCTATGCAAAATGCGCATCGTATTTCGATTTTATTTGAAATTGGTGCCAAATTTTGAAATAAAGCACTATTTCAAGACACCCCTTATTCCTTGTGGAATGAGATTTACAGGGATGTCGAAATAGCTGAACTAGTGAGTCCGTTCTTTTGAAAATTATTTCAAAATAGCGGATGCGTTCCTTGGATGCAGGGTAGCTATTTCAGAATACCTCCAGGATCCTGAAATAGCTTTGTGGTCTAGATGTACCCATACTGAGCTGGGACAAATTGGTGTAGCTCCATACATAACTAGCTTGCGCTGGTTGGCTTTAGGCAGTGTTTCTCCACCTTTTTTTGTAAAGTACCCCTTTAACAAAAAAAAAAAAGTACTCCCAGTACTTACAGTTTTCAGATACACACATTTTTTTTCTACCGTTGCAACACATTTGTTTAAACAACTTAATTGTAGCTGGGCGGACGATGAAATTTTGGGGTGTAAAAAGTCCAAAAATAATAACACGTTGTAAAACTTACAACAAAAATTCAGTGCCCTCCAGACTTCTCTCAAATACCCCTAAGGATACTCACCCTCAAGACTTCTCTCAAATACCCCTAAGGATACTCGTACCACTGGCTGAGAAACACTAGCTTAAGGTACGTCATCCAGCTATGCAAAATGAGTAGCTGGATTCAGATTACCTTAAGCTGATTCACTGTGGCGTCTACACAGCGGGAGGCCAATGGAAGCACATGGTCCCGTCAGCTTCCCTTATTCCTCACAGAATGAGATGCACCAGATGCCTGCAGGAGCTGCTGTCAACATTTGTTTTGGGTGGGGCTACACTACACCCGCTAAATCGAACACTAGAGGATTGACCTCCGGAGGGTCTATCTTTCCATGGTGTAGACATGCCTTGGACAAGGTATGGAAATGTAAACCTACTAGGAAACTGGTTACTTCCTCTGAACCAGCTGTATGGACTGGTGCTGAGTAAGCTCGTGGGTAGGACTAGAGCCTCACAAGAAACGTTTTGGGCACACATGCCTCTGTCTAATTGCACAGGCAATTATCCGATGCGGTGATGGGTCATGGTAATAATTTCCGGCAGATCTTCGTCACCATTTTGCACAATGATGCTGTTTGGCAAAGTCCTGTATTTCTTTCCTCCCTAGGAATCTACTTCTTGACGGAACGTTGTTTCATAATTTTAAAATAGAAAATCTAAATGTCAAACTTTTTACTCAAAAATCCAAGGGAGGGGAAAAAAAGCCCCATTTTCTTTGAAAGAAAATTGTGCATTATTAAATCTGGAACTAGAATTAATAAAAGGATTGGCACATCTAATACTTACAGGCGAGACTGTGCTAGTCTTATTCCTGTTGAACAGTAGCCTACTATATTCTAGTACCATTTCCGTTCTTCAGGCAAGATCAGAACCACATTGTGGGAGGTGCTGTACAAACGCAGAGTCATAGAATCATAGAAAACATCATATAACATAGCAAGAAATAGTCCCTACCTCAAAGATCTCATAGTCTAAACAGACCTAGAGATGTAAAGTAACTTGCCCAAGGTTACAGAATATATCAGTGGCAGAGTAGGTAGGTCTCTTTAATCCCAGTCGAGTGCCTTTTCCAATAAACCACACTGCCTCCCTGTTTATACAAAGGTTCTACCTGACATGAATCAGAGGGGTAGCCGTGTTAGTCTGAATCTGCAAAAGCGGCGAGGACCTGACATGAATAAGTCTCAGCATTTGAGCGTAAATCAGTAAGAAGTGTAAGACAGAAGTTTGCCGTTCCTGCTCTTACTCTGTTCTGTAGTTGGCACGCTGAAACAGCAGTACCCACAAAGTGTTAACCAAAGACCTCCCTGGATCCCCATCGACCAAATCTTCAGCCCCTGTCAATTTCATTAGTTCCACTGAAGTCAACGTGTGCTGATTTATACCCGTCGAGGTGTTGACTCAAGGTAGCTTTTTACGGGGATCTGGGGAATGCTGAATTTGTAACAACAGAGATGCTGGGAAGCAGTGGTTTTACATTTGTCCTGGATGCAGCAAGCCCAGAGGTGCCAGGGCTATGAAGAGCCAAGTTGGGAGATGCCTGGGTCACCCTGGCACAAACTAAGCGTGTGTCTGTACAATGGTAGTTAACACATCTCTCTGTCTAGATTGCTTAGAACGACTAAGGAGACAGGGAAGTGATAAGAACGTTTCAGTGTTACTGTTAGTTTGAAGGGCAGAAGGGATACCGGGGAGCATTACTAGAGAGGTGATTATTCCACTTTATTCGGCACTGGGGAGGCCACATCTGGAGTACTG